AGTTTGCTGCCTTTCTAGAAACTGGATGCATTTCATCAAAAATCATATATACAGGGCTCTGGCTAGTAGGGGATGTATGTGGGAGCGGCAGGTTGTTTCCGCCTGTACTGGGTAATTAATCTATATATTATAGCTATGACTCGTGGGCTAAGTGTAGCGCCATACACATGGGAAAACTGCTTTTAGAGAAACGCACGCAGTGAATTTGCGTTTTAACCAAAATAAGTAAATTACTGTGAACAAATGACACGGAAAAATGTAAGCTCAATAACAGACAGACAATCGAAAATCGAAATTCCGCAGCGATCAAAACATGTTTTTATATTTCGCTATGCGCGATTCTTACCGCTGCGTACCAAAATTCGCCATGTTGTAAATCAAGCGGCGTTGTATATAATGGGTCAGCGAATCCACTATGGGCACTCAGTGATGCTAATCACGTGACACAATGACTGTTGGAGCTATGCGTTTGGAGCACTGATCTCTATTATACTAACTAATAATTCTAAACTTGAATATCTAGTTAGTTATATAATAAGGAGCAATTAGTGGTTTGGAAAGACGGTGGCGCCTAGTTAGATCGCGTGTAGTGTGTCCGCTGCTGGACGTGCGAATATATTCGCATGGTGTGTCCGCTCAATTTATCGCATTTTGCCGGCGTCGCGAATATTTTCGCCGTGCGGATTTCCGTTGCCGGATAGGGGATCGCTGCGTGTGCGTGTGCGTGTGCGTGTGCGTGTGCGTGTGCGTGTGCGTGTGCGTGTGCGTGTGCGTGTGCGTGTGCGTGTGTGTGTGTCTGTCTGTCTGCTCGATCACTGATCCGGCAAATCAATGCACACTATTTGTATTAAGAAATAGGTATAGTGTGTTTCTGTAATAACCATGACAGATGCGCGCGTGGAGCGCGTTTTACCAGCCGTAAATATACACATAATAATACACATAAGTAACATACAGTAAATACACATGTAGATGTACAATGCAAATACACATAGAAATACACATCTATGTAAATACATAACATTAACATACAGTAAATACACATAATGCACACCATGCGAATTTATTCGCACGACCGCAGCGATTGTTAAAATCGCAGCGAAATTCGCATAGCGTGGTTAACAGGGGACACACCATGCGAATTTCGCTGCGATCATATCCAATCATGCAATAAATTGAGCGGACAATACATCTAAAGTCGCCACACGGCTCCAACCATGGCTCCAACAGTCATGTGATCTCTGGTGAAAGGTTCATCTTTCAATCACGTGATTAGTATACTGATCGTTTGATATTTTCGCTGCGGACACGCAAGCTCACACATTACAATCATGCGGACACACATTACAACAAGAGTTTTACAATCATGCTAAACACGTGGTTGCACAACATCAGCAAACATTGGAGCCGTGTGGCGATAGTAGATCGTGTGTAGTGTGTCCGCTGAGGTCGTGCGAATAAATCCGCATGGTGTGTCCGCTCCCATGCAGGCACGTAAACGTACCAGTACCTGCGTAGAGGTAATCACCGTTGCATGCTTGTGTATATCGGTATTTTGGTTAGTAGGCCTTCTGCTTCCGCACACATGTATGCATGCACTCACGTACGCACATACACGATACATTAGAGCGCTGAATTTCCATGCTTCAACATTTTACTACGACACAAATTCACATGCTCTTGGCTTTCATTAGACATGATTTTTGTTTGTAGAGAAATAGGTTGATATCGTTAGCTATTCTCGGGGCTTTAATTGACATCTAAAAAGCAAGTTATCGACATACATCTAACAAGCTCGAGTTAGTGTAACATTCAATTATATATAGTACAGTATAATAGAGTATAATATAATATAATATAATATAATATAATATAATATAATATAATATAATATAATATAATATAATATAATATAATATAATATAATATAAAATGAATATAATATAGATATAACTTACTATAAATTGGGATTTTCTGTGTGTGTGTGTGTGTGTGTGTTGTGTGTGTGTGTTGTGTGGTGGTGTGTGTGTCGCTATACGTTTTCCGCACCGCTCAATGGATCCCTCCGAAACTTGTCGGAACGATCTCTACAGATGCATAGACACGTTGCATGGCTATTTATTTTTTTCCAGTTTATTTTTTTGCCTATTCCACGTTCAAAAACATTCAAAAGTCGTGAATTTTTGCACGGCGCTGCTTTGGTTTTGTTGTTGTGTTATGGTGTTGGTGTTGTGTGTGTGTGTGGTGTGTTGTGTGTGTTGTGTGTGTGTGTGTGTGTGTGGTGTGTGTGTGTGTGTGTGTTGTGTGTGTTATGCGCGCAGCGGCGGCGAGAGGTTGTTGTGTGTGGTCGTGTTGTGGTGTGTGGCTGTGTGGGTAGTGTGTATGTGATATGTGTGTGTGTGTGTGTGTGTGTGTGTGTGTGTGTGTGTGTGTGTGGTGTGTGTGTGTGTATGTGTGTGTGTGTGTGTGTGTGTGTGTGGTGTGTGTGTGTGTGTGTGTGTGTGTGTGTGTGTGCTGTGTGTGTGTTTGTTGTCACGGTCAAACACTTTCTACAGTCACAGCAGCAGTTCTAAATACGTCACTGCTAGCTCGCGTGGACGTGCCTGGCAGCTAGATATTCTAGGCTGTATAATACTGCTTAAATGTACAGCAAGTAAACGTTACCATCATGAACAATGTGGTCTAGCCAAGAAGTCTGACCACCATTAAACGGGCATGGACTGTATAAATAATATATCAGATAAGATATAATATAATATACATACTATAATATAATATAATATATATATATAATATTTTATATTAATGCCTTGCTGTTGGGGGCACTATGCTCTCGATAGTGTTGGCTGAGGGAAGAAAGTGCACGGAGCGGGCGAGGTCACTATCGCTTCCCAAAGCAACACGTTATGAGAGCATAGTGGCCCCCAACAAGACAGGCATAATGTTTTTAGTGCATAACATGACTATGCAATCTAACTTTCATGCTTAAATACGTCTTTATACTCCTGCCTAATTGTGCCGGTGCCATCGATGTAACAAAAAACCGTTCGACAAACACAACCGATATTATATTCATTTATATTATATTATATAATTTATATAATATTATATAATAGTTACATTATATATATATTTAATTTAGAGTGCATCACTGATAAGATGTTGAAAATTCCATTGAGATAACGCAGAGGCAGGCACTATGAGACAATAGTGCCAGCCGAGCGGGCACTATTGCTTGGCGCGAGCGGCATTGTTTATTATAACGCATTGTGTTCACGTCACGAATCTCCTGCGTCTGGGCGCACCCGCAAGTTTCGAACGGCGGTTGTGTTTGTGTCGAACGTTTTTGTTACATCGAATGCACGGCAATTAGGAGTATAAAGAAGGTATATAAGCATGAAAAGTAGATTGCATAGTCATGTGATGCACTAAAAACATTAATGCCTGTTGTTGGGGGCACTATGCTCTCATAGTGCCGCCAACAGCAGGCAATTAATATATAAATAATATAATATAATATTATATAATATTATATAATATAATATAATGATAATATAATATCGGTTTCGGCGATATATATATATAGCGTCGTCCGTCGACCAATCGGTGGCCACACAGCCCGGACATTGAAGCGGATATGATTTCTATGCGTAAATGCGGCGCCCGCTAGCATGTTTACGATAGATTTTTTTAGACCGCCGTTTCAATGTATGACAATGTCGCATCAAACTGAAATGATACTCAGCAATAATGATGTCATGCATCAAGGCCTGCCCGAATATGATCGTACGGGAATTTTAATAGTGGTCTCGACTTGTGTCAATACTTGTGGTTAGGCAAAAACGCTTAATTGTTACTGCACGACGGTTACCGTGGCAACGAACATGTTGCTGCTCGGCGTCTACTTTGATATAATGACTAAATATTTTCCGTAACCGCGTTGCTAGATGCAGCTGTGACGGCTATCACGCTGCGGGGCGCCAGCCGACCTCTTCTCAAGCCAACATGCGATGTGTCTTGCACGCTAGCGGACTGATCCCCACCGCGCCCGCCCAGGAACAGAACGTGTCTGAAGCCAGCACGAAACTGCCTGTTGGTCACGCCGTAGACGATCGGGTTGGCGCAGCTGTTGACGTGCGCCATAAACATCGCGAAGAGGAAAAACTGCGCCGGCCAGTCGTAGTCGGGATCGAAGAAGAGGTCAATCACCATCGGTGTCCAGGTGATTACGAACACGACAAAGATCGTGCAGAGGGTTCGTGCGAGTTCGGTCGACGCCGTAGACGTCCTCGTTTTCGGCTGGACCGCACCTGCAGCTGCGACCTGTAGCGAACGAAGGCAATGTTACCTCGTTCTCGTTACGGTACCGCCGAATAACCGAATAGCTTCGGGGTAGAATGCAAGAAACGTCACTATTGTTATTACCAAAGATTGACGGCGAATAGCAGTATCTGTCTTTTTCAACTACTAATGCAGACATGGTTAATGAAATGACAGGCACCTTGAATACATGGAGTGTACGTTATGTACGATTTCCTTCTGTGAGACATAATAAAGTCATAATAAACTCAATTTTAATGCGGTTACTATCCACAGCAAGAACTGCGCACTCAATTGGAAGGTAGAAATTAATGAAAGAGATTGGGACAAATGTAAGGTTTGAGATGTCGTTGACGGGCACACGTACGCGCGGGAAATAACAAGACTCGCAATGTCGCTAGAAGTAGGGCCAGTCTAACCCGAAAGTACTTACCCGCTGCTTACTCTTGTAAACGTGGAGGAATACCTTCATGTAGCAGATGGCTGTCATGATTACGGGTACTATTACGCAAAGGACGGCCCACAGGTGGCGGTGTAGCGGTTTCGTGTAGAAATTCCACAGGCACGCCTGCGACCGGGGCTCAAACCAGAAGTTGTTGTCGTAGAAGAACGCCGGCATATTAATAAACAGGACCGAAAACCAGTTGACGATGACGATGGCGACACAGTTGCGCGACGTGAACACGCGTCCGTAGACGTTGGGGTAGCAAACGGCGAACATGCGACTGACACTGATGATCATTAACATGAAGAGCGACGCGTTGCACACGTTCACGCACGCGGAGCCCGTGAAAGTACACAGAATCATCGACCTTGTCAACATCTCCGGCTTGAGAAATCCTACAGTGAGAAACCCCAAGAACGGGGGTTAGGTTACTGATCGATACGTAGTAACACATTATCAGAAGTACTTCTGACATTATGTATTATGTATATGGTAATTCACTCGAAAATCAACCACGTTGATGTTTGTTATGGATAATTACGTGGCGTGCGAGCCCGAAGCAGACATGTGTCATATCAAATATAAAACTGTGTTTTCCTCGTGGGGACTGGAATATTTTCATTATATAACCGCCGCTTATTCTATGAAACAATTCAACGCAGTTTACGCAAGTAAAATGCAATTTTAAAGGACAGTAAATATGGAGTGATACGAAGACAAGAATTCATTGCAGATTTAGTTTATGGAATGCTATCACCGTCTTCACAGTCTATTTACCTCCGTCACAGTCATCAAAACAAATACGCGTTCATAAGCGTATAAGAAACTTACAAGTCTATTCATAGATTCATATAATTATATCATGATTATTATAGGACGGAATAAAGAACACCGTTACGATAACACTAGATTGGGCAATCGAGAATCACTAGCGAGCCACATTGAGAAATGAATTTACGTTGGCAATTAAATCCACAACAATATAGCGCGATTCAACTCAAACTGCGCATTACATTAATTAGGCTAATTTAATGAATATAGGATTAGTATATGGGTAGCTTACCTACAATATCCATCGGTGTGATGAATCCGGTCACGCAAAGATCAGCGATGGCCAGAGCTGCGATAAAGATGTTGCCGGAAGTTCGCAGTGGTTTGTACATTAGCACAGCACCCAACACCAGAATGTTGCCAACGACGCCGATACCTGTTACATGCACACATACATACATACATACATACATACATACGTAACGTAATCATGCATGCATAGCATGCTGCAGGAATGCAGTATACATAGCATACTACAGAAGACAGACAGACAGACAGACAGACAGACGGACAGCAGACGACAGACAGACAGACAGACAGAACAGACAGACAGACATGCGACGAGAGACAGGCAGACAGAGAAGACAGACAGACAGACAGGACAGAGCAGAATCAGACAGAAGACAGACGACGACCTAGACGCTACATAATACATAATACATAGCATACTACATACATCATAATATAATATATAATAGTACTATCTACATAATACAATAAATCAAGAGAGGTTTCGAAGTGCAGCACCCATATGTGGAGGAGGGGGTGGGGGTGCAGGGGTGTGTGATAATTGTGTAGTGGGCGTCGCATTTTTTTGAGGTCAAGGTAGCGTGGTTTAGTTACGGTGCGTCCTTGTGTGGTTGTTGTCAATGTGTACATGGTTTTTTTTCATTGTTTGTGACGGGCGTGCCTGTGTGGCGCTGCTGTGCGTGGTGCAATGTATGTGTTGTGTGTGCGTGCGTGCTGCCGTGGTGCTGGTGAGCGCGTTCCTTAAGCTAAAAATACTTTGCGTTGTTTTAACGAGCAACATACAATGCGCGCAATAACACACGACACGTGCGCGATTCATGTGTCTTAATCACCAGCGCTCCGCCATTTCGCCGAAATAACCTCTCAGAAATAACACGATGCCTACCCATGTTTCCATACTAAAGAACTGACACGAAGTTTTACGTACTGCTGGAGAAGATCTGTATGACAATGTAGGCGACCATCTGTCCGAACGGTGCCCCTGTCCTCGGCAGGTCGGGCGAGACGCCTGTAGAACTGTTACTGACCGATGTGCTGTTCATCTTAGCAGTGTACCTGCACGCAGATATTTTTCACGGATGCACGAACCACGACCTGCCCGAAGTCTCAACACCCGAGTCACGACTGCTGCGCAGTTAGCAATCTCGACGGTGGCGGCGATGACTGTGACGGCGACGATGACGACGATGACGACGGTTATGAAAGAAAATAAGCATGATACGGCAGTATACGTCAGTATACGTCATTAGTTATTATGCATTACAGGCATTATACGGCAGTAGTTGTAATGCAGGGTTTCGTGCGCATGACAGGTCGTGCTCAAGAGCCGAACAAGCGCCTTTCTGTTGTGTGCGCAGGTTGTGGAGCGCAACCGCCCATATAGGCCAATAAGCTGACTGCACGACAGTTGGAGTCATCGGAGGTTCGAGAAACATAAACCAACCGGCCGCATGTTCAGTGCGTGTTGAAGGCTGTGGTTAACTATCGCCTCATATTTTCTGCGCCCTTTGAACACACTACATGAAAAGGTTTGCGATTATCGTACATATGATTTGTTTGTTGGCAGTTAGTCAAGCATGTGCATGCCGATGGCTTCTTATGAATAGGCAACGTTGCTGTTCAAACTAGTCAACGAAGCCTATATAGCCAATAAATACCTCTATAAGCCTTATACTGCAATATGAACCACAAAACCCCAATTATTTCCATATATTTTCATGGAATCTATTACATTATTCAAGGAGCCGTTTACTTCTGCTGAAGGCAGAATCCCAAGTTGTCTTCTCCATGAATATAATCGGCTTGTATCCTCCATCGTGGGGGCGTTCTGGCTGCTTCCATTTTGTAGATACGCTGATTAAAATATTCTCCAATATTTGAGGTGTGCGTCAGAATAAACGCAAAAATTGACACACATAACGCATGATGTGAAATATTATGTGCGTCGATAGAACTTGGCTAAATTTAGGCCTGATATTTTTCCGTCTCCGTAGAATAATTCGATCTGGTATTTTTGTTGGAAAAGCGCACGTAGCTGAATTCTATAGCTGACAGCTGCTCGCAGGCGCGCAAATCCATTTTGAAAGGTGGGGGTGACACCAGTAGCGAGCACGTGAAAGGAGGGTCTGGGGGCTCTCCCCAAAATTTTTTTGGAAATTAGACCCCCTCAGATGCGTTTTCTGCGCGAGCAGGGGGAGGGGGTCTGGACCCCCTAGACCCCCCCTGTACACGCCCCTG